TTACTTTTGTCGCAAAGGCACAATCTCGACGACGAACCTTCTCCTATGGCGTCCACCCCTCGAAAAAGAATGAATGAGATGGCGGTACATCTATCACATACCGTATTTATCTTGTTTTCAAATCGCGCCAACATAATAATTGCGCCAAATTTGTTTCTGGGCATGCGCAGTATGCGACATTCGTTTAACACTGTTCAACTCAATGTGCGGTCTGCCATTAGGCAACCGGGTAGCCATGTGGCATCGTTCAGGTCTTGCATCTCAGAGATGGCGGATTCGAATCCCACTCGTGGAGTTATTTTTAAAATTCAGGGAAGATAATATTAAATTCCATAAAAATTAATTAAAGGTAATAATTAAAATAATGACGTACTAAATAATTAAAATGCTTATTAAAAAAGAGTAAATTATTAAAAATTAATGACGTATTTAATAATTAATCACGTATTAAATAATTAAAAACAATAAATTAAAAGTGATGTCATGCCAAACACGTGGTTCAAGAGCTCATTGCTACAAAAAATAAAAAACTTTCAAAAGGTAGTATCGTTGCCACACCCAAAAACGAAACTCAGCACGATTACGTCATCCTACCGAACAACGTCACCTCCGGATAAATCCAATATGGCGGCGACCCTTCCAGTTGTCATGTGATCCAAGATGGTGGCGGTGGCACATCAAAGACACACCCCCTGTTGCGTTATCTATTGTTCTATTACGTCATTGCGGCATCCCTTGGCCGCACGAGGAACGTGGGTTACTACTATGGCTGGTTGAGTCTTTTAACTACATCAAAGCTATGAAGACTATCTACCTAAGAGGAGGGATTCCTTCGTGGAGGATATTCTGAAGAAAGCTAGCGCATTACACATGAGGAAAAGCAAGAAAACCAACCCTGCAATCAGCCCGTTCGCCTGAGATCGAACTCAAACCATGCCGAACTAGCAGTATTCAGATTCAGAGGTCTTAACTGTTCGGCATATTGATGAGGCCTTGAACACAATCATGAATCTCTTTTAAAGACTGAAATTCGAATCATAGATCTTTCAGTTTACTAATTGGACCTGCTACTACTTGCACTACCAGGGAACGCAAGGCAAAAAAGGGTAAGTCTTTATAAATGTACCAGCACGACAGCATTATATGATTTGTTGGACATCTTAACTTCGAAAATTATATGGAAAGCATTTCCAAATGGATATTATATTTGATTAATTTTTAACTAATTGATTCTAGATCGTCACCTTTTCAATCCGAAAAAATTTCGTATTATATCTAGATGCTATATAAATCATTTTATCTACATACACTAATTTACGAAATTTAATTTTTACATTAGTCCTACAGCAAGAAATTTTAAAATAGAAAGTGTTCTTCAACTACAAAGAGTCGTATGAATATAATAAGTTTCAGAAACTGTATTTACTTTAAGGCTTTAAAATTTTAATATTTATAACAAAGATTTCAGGAGGCGTCTTGGCATTGAAATAATGGCATGCATACTAATCCTGAATTCCAACGAAGGCATCCCTACTTTTAGGCAGATAGCCCTAGAATGCTTTACATTAGTCAAATAAGCCAAAGCATACTGTTGCTGTAAAAAAATATTGTATTTTTATTACATAATTTCGACTGCAAACGTTATATTTGTTATATTTATTAAAAGATTTTATTTTTGTGCTAAATTCTAAATGCTTGAATTTTTCTAACACACAAGAAACAGAGGTAACAAAAAACTAAAAAATATTCATAATTTACTAGAATATATAAACAATATAATCATTGTTAAATAGATTTTTAATAAGAATATTTTGGAAAAAATAAATGATTAATGCATACTTTACGTGGTACTTCCTAAAAAGCTTGTTTGTTTTAACTGAAAACTATGAAACATTCTTGAATCATCTGACTAAGAAGTGGAATGCTTTCGTGGAAGATTCTGAAAGGAAACTTGGCTCATAATTGTATTTCACACAGAGAAATCCTAAAAAGTTCCTATGTAGCCAGGCTGTACGCCATGAGTCGGATCCGTATCGAAGGACCAGATTTTGTGGTCTTATCCAATCGGCCATCAGAAAACCCAGTTTCGTAGAAAACTACAAGAATCGAGTCATTAAATAATTTGCTATTACATTGCATCGGCTAAATAATTTGCATGTCACATAGATTTAAAAATTTGACATAGCACGCAAAGTCACTTTTTCCTAAATACATAAGGGCTAGCTAATGGTCAAGCGGTAATATCGTAATAGAGTCGACCCGGACTCAAATTCTGAAAACAGGCTGACTGCATGGACGCTTCGATGATTTTCCTTCTGTGGTTCAATACCAGCCAATTTCCCTTGGGAAGTTCTCTACGAAGACATACTTTCATTAGTAAGATAACACTATCTTACTTTGCCGTAATCAAATAAACTAAACTAAATCTAAAACTGTCATATGTCTTGCCGCCATTTTAAAGGAAGTTTCACATTCAACATCCCTTACAGTAATGAGATAACTTTTACTTGTTCGCATATGCCATATTGACATATTTTACCCGTTCAAATATTCAAGAGGATAATTATAACTCTATTTTGGCTGATCATAGAATAGACAGAAACGGATAATAGAATATATGGAAATAGACGATAGAAATGGATCTTTACGTAGATCTTGTGCAGTTGTTATATTGTGTTTTAACTGACTGCTTATAAATACATTTAGATAACATAACTTTAAGAATATCAAATTTATGTATAGAAATATTGCTTTAGATGAACTATAGAATGAATATTACAAAAAGTATTTTTCAGAAAGATTATTTAAGACGTAAATTACTGTGCGATATTCATTTTAAAACAATACATTCCTCCTTAAAGTTATAAGGTATTTTCTCCCTCCTTTCTGCATGCCTTCGTGGTGTAATGTAGTGCATTCGGCGTATATTCGAGAGGTCCAAAGTTCGCGTCCCGGCTAGGGCTTTGTTCATTTTTTATGTGTGTTCTCCACAAACAACCTAATGTTCTACAGCGTCGTCCGAACTAAAAAAAGGGGGAATGGATGATGATTCTTCAACACCAGGGTGTGGCAGTTGGGTCTCTTAATCTCCAGTCGGCCTTTAAAAGGCGGAGTATATAAGGTATTTTCTAACTTCTCACTGCATCCTTCGTGGTGTAATGGTAGCACTCTCAGCGCGTATTCGAGAGGTCCAGGTTCGAATCCCGGCGAGGGCATTGTTCATTTTTCACGTCCTTAGCATAAAAAAAAACCTAATCACTCTACGAATTGTCTTTCTGGAAACAATACCTGTTTTCCTGTATGATATTTTACAAAAGGTATTTAAAGAAAATTTAACCAGTTATTCTTTAATTTTGCTATTCAAACCATATATTTATTTATTTTGAAACATCTTAAAATCTGAGGCGGACATCACATGACTTCCTTGTACACCAAATAAATTAAACACATTTTTTGCCAAACTTCATTTAAACCTATTTTGTTTGAAAATGAAATAGGCTCTTCCATTTCAAAATGCCCATTTGGAACTGCCGATTGCAATAAAAAGGGAGGTGCACAACTAGATGTTATAGCAATCGCATACAGAAACTTTCAACATTTTACGGTTTACCGTTTTTGAGTTATGCGATATGCATGAATACATTCGTACGGACACACGTCGCGCTAAAACTAATCATAAGTTTCCAAATATAAAATTTCATCATTTATAGTGAAGTTATGCGACATACGTACGTGTAAGCGTCATGATGAAACTAATCAAAATGGAAATTTCCTTTGAAATATGAAAATCGAAATTTTTCGCGATTACAATAGTTTACTTATTTCTCACAAGTAAAAACGATGTCATAAGTAACTAACTTCTAATAAATTTATGATGCAATCTAAAGAATTATTTAAATCTAATACTTTAATCTGGAATAAACTTAAAATATTGGAAAACTAAATATAAATATAATATTAAAATAATATGCGAATAATTTGTATTCGAAAAACTAGAACATGAGGGCCAAAAATTCTCTCAAATTCCCTTTGTATATTAAAAAGTATTTTCTAAGGAAATAACTGTAAAGAATGCAAGATAAAATTTTTACCATCATCGAAGCAATTCCTTAAAGAAACTGGAAATTTAAAGCATTTTACGTAGTTTCTATTACTAATGCATATTTACTAACTTTCTTATTCGGCACATATCTTGATTAAGGTACGAGCAATATACAGCATAATTTGTTAGTATGCAAACTATAACGTAGCCAAAATAGGAGATAAAATAACATTTTAGTAACCAATCCTGTGACGAAGATACCATAGGGAAAAAAACTAATTTCACTCGCTAAATTGAACGGAAAAAAGAATTAGCTTAATTATGTCCACATGGTAAGGGGGGCCCGCTTTTGAAGTAGTTTGAGTCAAAATACTTGCCGTTTTCGCGATAGACCAGATGAGTACACACGATTATTTTTCATGCCGTTTCTTGAAAAAGGCGTAACGCTAGGGGGGTTAAGAGAAACGGCACTTCGATTGAAGAAATCCTGTTATGTCGACAATTGTATAGCTTGTTTCGAAAACGAAGAAGAAGTAGTCAAGTTCAAAGAAGAGTCCCAAACTCTGATATTTTCAGGAGGCTTTTGACCTTAGAGGGTGGACTGCTGTACGATTTAAAGATAGAAGCATGACTTCCTATCAGAAGATCATTCCAATTCTGGGACTCTGATGGGACACCGAGAAGGATGAAATCTATTGCAATTTAACCTTTTTGGCATTTTCGGAGAGTGCCCACACGAAACAATCTCTTCTGTCAGTCTCACAGAGAATATTCGACCCCATCGGATTTACAAGTCCAACTACGTTAATTACAAAACTTATTCTGCAAAAAAAAAAAAAAAAACATGGAAGATGAAACTTTCCTGGGATAAAAATCTTCCACAAGGTATAGAAAGAGAATTCAGGCTTGGCTCAAAAGACTACACTTCTTGAATTATTGTAAAATTTCAAGAAGACTTATGATTGGACCCTTCGATGACTGCTCTATCTCTCTACATTGTTTTAGTGATGCTAGTAAGGTATCTTATGCAGCATGCATTTTCTTACGTGCATATTTTGAGGGCAAAACTTCAGTACAATTGGTATTATGTAAATCAAGAGTAGCGCCTGCCAAAGAAGTAATTATTCCCAGATTAGGGTTGCTTGGAGCACTTATAGCTACTCGGCTGTACCGTCAAGTCATTGACGCTCTTAAATTTACAAAGTGCCAAGTGTACTTTTGGAGCGACTCGTCTGTAGTTCTGACATGGATCAAAAAAGACTCTCACTGGAGTGCTTTTGTGGCAAATCGTGTAGCTGAAGTAAGGAGATGCACAAATCCGGACGACTGGCATTATGTACCAAGCTCAAGCAATCCAGCTGATCATTCCTCTAGAGGGTGCTACAGTGATGTTGTGATGTACAGGGTGGGAGTGGCCGGATTGGCTTAAAGAAGAGCCGGAACTCTGAAGAGTCAGAACTAGAAACTGATGAGCTAAAGAATATGTTGCAATTTCCTAAAATTGCAAGGTGGGAGGATGTTCAGGAACGTGAACGAACTCAGTTAATACACAATAATTTAATATCTTCGTTATAGTATAGATTTTTTGTGGCAACAGTGATGTTGTTTTATATATTACTTTGAGCGTGATAACGCATGGAATGTTATTTTTTTTTTTGTAATGTTTAGAATGCTAAATAAATAAGTTCGTTGTTAATTAAAAGGTTTTCTCTGCTAAATATATTACCATTCGTCCGAAGTTATTAAGTAAGTCAAGAAATTGATTAATTTCAAACACTAAGATTAACCCTTTGCTTTGATTTAATCTTTATAATATAATATATTTTACAATGATAAGGCAAAATCCAATGTGAAAGATTATGTGAAGATTACGATAGTACCTACAGTATTCAGCATTTCGTATAATCCTATTACCAGATAATAATATTAAAATAAATTTTATTTGAATGAAGTTTTCGTATTACAGAAAGAGTCAAATTATGCAATTTTATAAAAGAATGCACTTTCAGACTATATACTTAATATTGTTTACAAGTGCAAGCCGAAGTTCTGTTTATGTTACTTCTCGCCCTTCAGCCATGCTCAAGAACTATATCCAGGGGAAACCAGTCGATTTTTCCATGACGTCAAAATTTCGAAAAGTGGGGTAGGGTTTGGAAATACTAATGACTGGACATACTAATGACTGATGATTTTCTGATTTGGGGAATGTAGCAAAATTTTTTAGGATTTTGTATTTTTAGGTGAGCAGATTCATATGCACTTTTTCAGAAAATATGAGAAATGGCAGGTATTGGGCCGTATCCTCATACCGTGCGACGAGATCTCGATAAGCGAGGCCTACGTGATAGACAGGCCACGGCGCGAAAAATTCACGTGGTCGAGAAAGGCTGGCAAGCTTCCATCTTCTGTTATGTGCGTGTATTGTGCTGCTGTTTATGTGATTTATATTAAACATATTTTTAGTTAGAATTTGTTTAATCTGCTTCAGTATTAACATTCTAAACAAACTTAAACGTAACGTGTAAGCTTAGTGTGGTTAATAACCTTTTTTTATACATGATTGTACTGTTTTATGATTTGAACTTGTGTTCAGTTGGAATAAGAAAATTTACGTCGTCTTGAAATATCATTTTGGTAACTAATTTATTCTTTTTAATTTTCTTTTTATGTTTATATACTGCGTACATTTTATATAAGTTTTTAATTCATGTTAATTGGAATAACTAAAATAGTTAAGATGAAAAAAATATGATTTCGTTCAATTAACAGTAAATGTGTTCATGTTGAACCGTATGTAAACCTTTCTTTATTTCATTTTGATTTTTAAAACATTTAAAATTACTTAGGCTATTGGAATTCGGAAAGGACAAAGCATAACTGCGTGAAGATAAAGGTATATATTAACTAAGACTTGCTCATTAAAGCATTGTCAACAAACAGTATGTACGTGTTTCTGTATATGAATAATTGAATAATTGTTCTTTAGCAATTTATTTACAAACAGTTTTATTTTTTAAAAGGGCCTTTTTAAAACCAATACGAACATAGAAAAAACGTATTAAACAGTTATTTTCAATAAAATAAAATAAAATAAACCGTTAAGCTTAGGATTTAATTAAGTTTTATTCTTTAAAGTTCTTTTATTTATTTATTTAATTTCCTTCTTTTCAGAGACTTTGTCATGCCAAACAAGTGTAGTGTTGCTGGGTGTCGTTCAAATTATGATACAGAAAAAGAATATAAAACATTGTTTTCACTACCAAAAGATGGTGAAAAGAAAAAAAGTGGCTGCGGAAAATACCCACAGATTTTTCAGGATTGAAAAATCCATTTGTGTGCATCGAACATTTTCGTGAATGTGACATTATTCGTGTGGATGAAGTACGTGTAAATGGTATATTAAAACAATATCCTAGGAAAGTTCCCAAACTGAAAGATGATGCTATTCCAAGTGTTTTCTCAATTTACCAAAATATTTGAGTTTGAATAGTCAACCGCCTCGTCGTTTGGTGGATGTTGAACAAAGTAATTTCGATTTAGCTGCAAGGCAGAGTTTATTAGATCAAAAGGATTATGAAGAAAAGCAAGCTATAAAAGAAGTTTCTGGTATTTTATCATGTTTTAAATTATTAAATGAAAAAGAGTTTCCAAGTAAATGGCATGTTCAGCAAAATTCTGAAAAATTATATATTTCTCTGATAAATGTAAATGTTACACCTGTGATATTAGGCCATATTAAAGTATATACCAACTTAGCAACATTCAAATTGCGATTTGTGGAATATACTAGTTGTGAAGGAAATCATTCAGCTACGAGACAATTCAAAGTGGGTAAAAAATGTGTGTGTCATTGACAGAAACAACCAGAAAAACTGTTTACTACAAACATTGCGTACAAACATGAAATGCATAGTAAATGTTTTGCTGTTTCGCAAAATAATGCGTGTTGAAAGCTGAGTGTGGCTCAAAAAGAAGCAACTGATTTCAAGGGAAGTGAAGGATGGTTGTGTAGAGTGATGAAAAGAAATTAGTTCTCTTTCTGTAGACATAAAGCAAATATGTCAGAAAATTCCTATGCAGAAATTTTCTGAATATCTTAATTTTCTATGCAAATTTGTTGTATTTCAGTTGCTTTGTTTATTTTTTGAATTGCTTTTCAGTACAATTATTATTTCATTTTATTTAATTTTACTGCTGGTCTTAAAAGTTAGAAAAAAATGTTTTATGTCTTGTAATGTATGAAATGTTTTTTGGAATAAAAGTATACATAGTCTCTATTAGTGTTTTTAATGTTTTTCAAAATAAAATTTATCATAATTTCTCATCAGGTGTGTAATATTTAATAATTTGTAAATGGTAACATTTAATATTTAGTAACTTGTAATTGGCAACACTTTGGATACAGATTGGAAAATAGAACTACGCTGGTATTGCAGTTCTCTGTGATTATACATTCTAAGATTGTAAATAAATAGTTTCAAATAGCTAAAAGTGTACCCTCATAATTTTATATGGTGTCAGAAGTGTTTTGCTTTCAAAATGGAAAGTTTAAAACCACCAGAGCCGATGAAATTTGATGGAAATCTGGCTTCGATTGGCGAATGGCAGAGATGGCTTGCAATCATTTGAAATATATGAAGTAGCTAGTGGATTACATAATAAAGAAGAGAAGGTAAGAGTTAATACTTTTCTTCATGTAATAGGAATTTGTGGTCTTGAAATATATAATACATTTCCTATAGAAGAGGGTAAAGAAATTAAGTGAATTAAGTGAAATTAAAACAAAATTTACAGAATATTGTATTCCTAAGAAAAATATTACATATGAAAGACATTTATTCTTTACTGGAAATCAAACCGCGTCAGAAACCATAGATGAATATGTAATTGATCTTCGAAATAAAGCTCGAGCATGCGAGTTTGTACAGTTAACGGATAGTTTAATAAAGGATATATAAAATTGTTTGTGGTATTTAAAGATGATATAGTGAGAGCAAGATTGTTACATGAAACAGAATTA